CGAAACGTCCGTACACCGAAACGTCCGTACACCGAAACGTCCGTACACCGAAACGTCCGTGCACCGAAAAGTCCGCACCGAAAAGTCCTACACCGAAACGTCCTACACCGAAATGTCCTAGACCCGCTTCCCCCCCCCCCCCCCCCCCCCCCCCCCCCCCCCCGAAATCTTCCTGGCAGCCTGGTAGTCAGGCGCTGTCATCGCGCGACGCAGCAGCGGCTGGTTGCACTATCTCTCCACGGGGCGCGGTGCCGCCGGGGCCGAGATGCACTCTGATAGCAAACCGAAACTTAAACACCCTTCGAATTTGTGCGGTTTTTCAGAAAGCCGTAAAATGCTTCGCGTGCCTTCTATCGTTCTGCAATTTGTTGATTTAGTGTTTTTCGATGGTGCTGAGCAATTTTCTTATTTAAAACATGCCCTTAGACACAATATTAAAAAAGTTAATTACGCAAAAATAATTAACAACTTAATTATCCCGGACTTTCATATTTTTATAAATGGGCCCCTGGCCCAGGACCAAAACGCCACAAGCCTTTTTTTGTTGCAATGAGTAGTTTTCACAGGAGCGATTTGGCCTGCGTTCTTTGAAACACCCTGTATATATATTACACCTTTCCAAGAAACACTTGACCCCAGGGGCAGCAAACCGTTTTCAAGCCCAGTCAGTGGGATTGAGGCTAGACTCCCACCGGCGTCTCTGCTAACCCTAACCGAGTGGACTGCGATTTCGATAGGCGCAGTTTCAAACACTGCTGGCGGCTAAATTCTCGTCTTTTCCCGCTGTGTTTTGTGTTTCATGGTGCACATATTTCCCCGAGGTCACTAAAAAAGCATTGTACCACATTTGGAAAAAAAAGAAGCAATAAAAACCTATACACTATATTTGTTCGGTACGTTCACGACAGAACGAATGCGACTGGAATGTATAGTTCTAGTTTTTCTTTGTGTGTGTTTTTTACGATAAGTTTTGACGGTGCCGCGCGTCAAACGACAAAGTGCTTAGCTGTCAAAAATAAATTGCAACAGAAGAGAGCCGAAAGGCATGCATGTTTCACGCTCACAAATTACGTGTTTACCGATGGACAGGGCACGGAAATACTATTTAGCAAGTCTTAACATTCGAACGATATATTGTACGTACCACACAATGCAGCGTTATCTGAAAAGAATTTATCTGAGAAAGATCTCAAACAACAGTTACAGTCGACGACAGTCATATCTTGACGATCGGTCGCAATCCAAGATGGCTTCGTTTTAGGGTACGTTTTGGGGAGAGCTTCCTTTTTTCACAACAGCACCAAGGCAAAGGAACGAACGCGACTGACCCGTTTCCCACCCCAACCCGGACTCCAATTCACTATAGGTGGCGCCACTCGTTATCCAAAATGGCGGGTTTAGTGAGGGTTGGAGATGCGTGCCGCTCCTGAGCCTGTCTAGTGTGCTGGCTTCACTGAGCGACACAAATTATTTCTGGTAATACGAGGAAGCTAGGGTGTTATGCGCGCAGGCCACCTCTTTACCCTGAAAACAAGAACGGTGTTTAGCTTAATATTTACGCCCGGAGGCACGTTTTAATTCTAGAGCGAAACCGAAACTAACCTCTATCTTGGATTTAATTTCTCGGTATATGTTTTAATCAGATTCTTTCATAACTCAAGATGTGTCTCACACCGTAATTATTTATTTCAAGAAGTTGTTCGCCGAAACTTTTGTCTCTTTAAAGACATAAAGTCCGGCTCTTTCATACGCCTTAGAGATAACACAGAATATTATTATTTGTAAAAAAAATCCGCTGATATTCGTGCGTTCTCGCTGCCTTTTCTCACTCAGATAATTGTCATCTGAAATAATGAACTGCGGGCCTTTCAATTGGTTTTGGGGTATTTCGATGATTAATTGCTTTAAAATTTTGCCCAGCATAAGAATAAGACGATAAATCCAATTTATACAATATGTTCACAAAACGCATGAATGCTAGTGAGAACGCTGTTCTCAGTAGAAAAAACTAAAAGAAGAAATCCGAGTCAGCTAGGCAGCTGAAGTGTGCATGTTTTTTAAAGCAACGCGGGACGCATAGGAGTTTATGTTGCATCCAGTGTTTGTCTATCTTGATAACGATGTCAGAGTTTTTCATATGTTAAAAAGAAAACAAAATGGTACCTTTCAGGAAAGACAATGGTTAAATGGCAGATTTTTGTGATGGTAGCGTTAATTGGGGGCATACATTGCCGCGATTCGTATTAATAATAATCTAAATATCAAAATTAAGATATTTTAATACGCAAGTTTTCAAGCTCTAAGTTAACTGGTTGTTATGATCTAATTTTAAACGCGCGAACAAGTATGACAATTTAAAGTGGGCTAATTATCATCACTGGTGCCAATTGCAGCATTTTCAAGTACCAAGTTATAAAATAAATATAGTCTAAAATCAATGAACATTCTAGCTAATGTAAGAAATTCATGTAAAATTAGATTAATTGAGGGTTCTATCAAAGTAGCGACTTTTGACAATCGGCAAATTTTCCAAAGTCGCCACCAATATCCTTCCACACCTCATTCCCCCTCCCTCTCCCCCCCCCTACCCCCCCCCCCCCCAAAAAAAAAAAGATTTTTTTTTTTTTTTTAATTATTAATCTTTTCTAACATTTATTTACTTTCGTATTTACGCGCCTCGTTTTGCCCATCTCAGCCTTTCCAGTTCGAAGGAACGCCTACCTGTTGCAAGCCTGCTCACAGCACGTTTCGTTGGCGTTGGAAGCCGGTGAAACAGTAGTGAGTTTTAGTACTGCATATACGAGCAAGCGCTGTGTGTTTGCGTTAGCTTTGCGTGTTCGACGCTGCGCGTGCGTGGAGCCCAAAATCGGGGGCTCGAATCGGAGCACGGCAACGACGCGCTTGCGATACGTGGAGCTCGCCACCCTAACGCAAACGCACAGTGCTTGCTTCCATACGCGATACTAAAACTCTCTAATAAAGTATAATCCATACCGGCTGCAGCACTATGTTCGGACAGTGAAAGAGTGTTGTTTGCATTCGGAAACGGACATTTGGCGAGCCACGATCGCGAGCAGTTCAGCCGTGCCCGCTGAGCAGGAGAATCGGGGGACCCTCACTAGAGCGCTTCCCGTTTCCGCCGCGCGAGGGCGAGCATTGAGCTGGAGACGCGAATATTTGGAGATGGCTGTGGAGTCTACGCGGATTATCTCTGGGAGGGGGAGAACAATGTTTGCGTCGAGGGTCGTTCGACATCTTTCACCTCCTTCGTTTCCCGTGAATGTCGAACAGAAAAGCTTGAATGGCCGGCTTTTACCAGCCCCATTTCTCAAAGTGGAAGATAACACAGAAAGGGTGCGCAGCACACATAAAAAAAAAAAATGAATTGGAAACTTTCAAGAGGGGCTAGAAAAACGTCTAATGCAAAAACATAAAAACGTAGGTAGAGAACCGCGCTGAGCGGGTCTTCACAGTCCAAGAGAGTGGCAGAAAATTTCTAGCTGATAGAGAGCGCGAGGGTCGCACCAGCCGCATCAGCAACATGGCGGTGGTCTAGGAGCGTTCTTTTTTTTTTGGAAAGGTGTATACACACACATGGTGTTTTTTTTTTAAGCCCTACAGATTTGTTTTAAAAAAAGCTGTGAAAGTTACACTTACGCGGTTTGTGTAGGTGGGTTATACTGCCAGGGAGACATAGTATAAGGGGCTAATCGTAATGATCAGTCGGCTAATTTATTAAAATTTGTTGAATAACTTTCTAATTAATAAAAATAGACATAAGGTTTCAATTATAAACTTGCTCAGCGTCATCTAAAACCATTAAATCAGTAATTTTCAGAAAGACTGAGCACGTGAGGAGCGTAGTAATGTACTAAAGTTACCACTCGTGGAACAGGTACAAGGCTGGGGCTAGATGAGAGACGGAGAAATCGCGCGGGCACCTTACCGCAACCGCTAGTCCTGTACCTGCTCCACGAGTGTTAACTTTAGTGCACTACTACACCTCTCGCGCGCTCAGTCTTTCTGAAAATTACTGATTTAATGGTTTTCAATGATGCTCAGCAAGATTCTAATTGAAACCATGTCTCTATTTTCATTAATTAAAAATTAGTTAACGAATTTTAATTAATTAGTCGGCTGATTGTTACGATTAGCCCCTATACTATGTCTCCCTGGCCGCATAACTCACCTGCACAAACCTCATAAGTGTAACTTTCACGTCTCTTTTTAAACAAATATGTTAAGTTTAAATCATAAAAACATATATATATATATATATGGGAGGTGAGGTAAGATTGACATAGGCAGCCGTAATATTGTGAATGGATTGAGGTGAGAGCGATTATTGAATTTATTGTATTAAATTTGCCAGCTCTTTCCCTTCCCCTAACTTTAATGCAATAAATGCAATAATCCCTTTGCCCTCTTCGTTCATAATATATGTATATGTATATAATGATTGTGCAAAGCATGATAACAATTCTTTCCACCACAGTCCTGCAAATCGCTGATTGAGAGCCTCTGCTAGCTTTAATAGCAACAAACAAAATGCTATTCTGTGCTTAAGAGGTTAGTGGTAATGTATTATGTTGTGGACCCGTTTGAAAGCTGTGGAGGCGCACTTTGCTAGGGCAGTACTACTGCTAACCTGCGGGTTTTAATGTGCTGCACGGTCTGATTTAATAAATAGACACTGGTACCACAAAAAAAAAAAAAAAAATGGCACAGAACTGTTCTTTGTTTGTGCGGCTCAAAATGTTTAATTTTCCTGATACCAAGGTGCTCCAAAGCGAGATTTTCACCGCTCCAAAGGGGGAGTTTATGTGATACCAATTGCTCCAAAACCTAAAATGGCTGGACCGCCACTGCTGAAATAAAAAAGAAAAAAAAAATTAAACCATCAGCTGAAGCAGAACTACATAATGACTGCTTACTTCTAAGACATTTTGCTATTTTTGTATATTTTCCTACTGTGTCCTAATACACATGAGGCCTTGTAGGAGCGGGAGCTGCACTTTTGGGTGAGGCCAGCTGCGCACTGAAACCTACCGAAGACATCCATGTCACCAGAAATCGGCGTAGGAGCGTCAGCCATCTGGTCACCCATGGTGATGAGCAGAAGTACCAGTGCCCCCAAGCCTTTTCTGAGAGATCCAGCCTGATCCGCCATAGTCGAACACACAGTGGTGAGAAGCCATTTAAGTGTAAGCTGTGCCCCCAAGCCTTTTCTGAGAGATCCAACCTGATCCGCCATAGTCGAACACACAGTGGTGAGAAGCCATTTAAGTGTAAACTGTGCCCCCAAGCCTTCTCTAATAGTTCCCACCTGATCTGCCATAATCGTACACACAGTGGTGAGAAGCCATTCAAGTGTAAGCTGTGCCCCCAAGCCTTTTCTGAGAGATCCAGCCTGATCCGCCATAGTCGAACACACAGTGGTGAGAAGCCATTCAAGTGTAAGCTGTGCCCCCAAGCCTTTTCTGAGAGATCCAGCCTGATCCGCCATAGTCGAACACACAGTGGTGAGAAGCCATTTAAGTGTAAACTGTGCCCCCAAGCCTTCTCTAATAGTTCCCACCTGATCTGCCATAATCGTACACACAGTGGTGAGAAGCCATTCAAGTGTAAGCTGTGCCCCCAAGCCTTTTCTGAGAGATCCAACCTGAACCGCCATAGTCGAACACACAGTGGTGAGAAGCCATTTAAGTGTAAACTGTGCCCCCAAGCCTTCTCTAATAGTTCCAACCTGATCTGCCATAATCGTACACACAGTGGTGAGAAGCCATTCAAATGTAAGCTGTGCCCCCAAGCCTTTTCTGTGAGATCCAGCCTGATCCGCCATAGTCGAACACACAGTGGTGAGAAGCCATTTAAGTGTAAACTGTGCCCCCAAGCCTTCTCTAATAGTTCCCACCTGATCTGCCATAATCGTACACACAGTGGTGAGAAGCCATTCAAGTGTAAGCTGTGCCCCCAAGCCTTTTCTGAGAGATTCAACCTGAACCGCCATAGTCGAACACACAGTGGTGAGAAGCCATTTAAGTGTAAACTGTGCCCCCAAGCCTTCTCTAATAGTTCCCACCTGATCTGCCATAATCGAACACACAGTGGTGAGAAGCCATTCAAGTGTAAACTGTGCCCCCAAGCCTTTTCTCGGAATTCCTCTCTGATTCGCCATATTCCAACACACAGTGATGAAAGGCCATTTAAGCGTAAGCTGTGCCCCCAAGCCTTTTCTGAGAGATCCAACCTGATCCGCCATAATCGAGCACACCATTGTGAAAAGTCATTTAAGTGCTAGCTGTGCCCCAAGCCCTTGCTCAGGATCCTCATCTCGGAAGACATAAGACCGGTGAGAAGCCATTTAAGTGCAATCTGTGCCCCAAAGCCTTTTTTTTTTTTTTCTCAGAATTTCATCAGATACGCGATAATCAAAACATTTTAGCAATTGACTCGGTTGGGAACCGATTTTTAAGTGTGCTCAGCAGTGGTTTGTGATCTCGAATATAACCTTGCTATATTGGGGGACAACGTTTTTTGACAGTGCCGTCAAAAGTACTGGCACACATGCCCTCTCTCATTTTTAGTGCTGATCAAAGCTATGCTCGCGCTCTCCTTTGAAATTTCACGAAAGGCTGTCGCCGAGTATAGTCGATATGCCACACACCAGCCAGCAGGTTTAACAATTGACATCATACCAATTTTTAATACTCCGTAAAGTGTGTTCAGCAGTGTTGACGAAAGGTGTAGAGTACTGAAAGTGTTCTTGCCTTCCTTTTGTGCACTGTCATCTTTGTAATTATGTCTTTATATGACGCCCGCCTTGAGATAGCACTGTGTTTAGGTGATCGCTATATTCCATTGCTCTGTATTCCTGTTCCCGGCTATTGTTGCTGCGTTGCCTGGCTCTCTGTCTTTTGTACTCTTTCGTCCATTATTTTGCTTCCTGTGGATTGTTGCTCATTGTGTGCTTAGTTTTACATTGTGTAAGGCATTTGTATATATCTTCGTTGTGAATTTTTTTTCTTACTCTTTGCTGTTTGTCGTGAATAAATTTTGCAAATAATAAATGCGTCATCAGACTTCCGTATTGGTGTTCCTCACAAATAAAGCTCGACAGTTTGAGCTTTCCCAGTGTTATATTGTTGTCTTTCAGCCATTTCCGATCTTGTCTAAAGTAAATGTGCCATTGGCAGAGCAGCTTTCTAGAAAGTTCTTATTCTGATAACAGTGATGTGATTGCTGCGCCAATTGTGCCAAGGGGCTAAACCTGCTACATTTTGCCGAAATTTGGGTAATCTGCGCCAAAAAAACAATTTCAGTCGTTTTTCAAAAGCAAAACTAAACAGTACCGTAATAGAGCTTTTGGTGCTATGTGGCGCAAGCGGCCGCCCGACACAAATTGTACCCTGCATCAATTGTCCATCCGGTCCTGCATAGTTTTCCCGCCGTCTTGCGTTTCGCGCTCTTGTCGTCTCGTCTCGTACCCTTTTTAAAAAAATATTTTCAACGACTGACGCCAGTGTGTGCGGACGCTCCGACGCTAGCGTGCCGGGTACCAGCCATGCCTTCATGCTCTGAAACGAAACTATGTTTTTGCGCGGCGGGAGTTACTTTGTGAGCTGAAGCACTCGTTCCTGAAAGCAACGGCCATGGGGAAAACCATATTTGGTCCCTCCCTTCCAGTCACCGTGGTCGCGCGACGTCGAGTGTTATTGTCCCTACGTCGATGCAGATATGGCACTTTCTAAAATGAAATGAAGTACCGCCGCATGTTAATAAAAATCCCTGTTCTTGTTTAGTTCATACGGTACTACAAATATCTCTCTTTAACTTAAAGACTGCTGTGTCGAAGTATTGATTACCTAGGTTTCTCTCGGTGGGCTTTCTTTCGAGACTGACCCCAGTACGTGAAAAATTTGCCGTGAAATAAAGTTGGTGAAGAGAAGTGAGCTAAAGTAAAGAAGGCAATGTCTGCACGCTGAACCCGCACAGCGCGCTTGTTTATCTCGGGTTCAGTCGTTGCGCAAAGCGCTCCTAGAACTTCTTGGCCGTGGCTCGTGATGTCTTGCATCGATGTGCACAGGTTTTTTTGTTTTGTTTTTTTTTGCTGTGCATTTAGCTTGTACCTCGCCAGCCGGCCTGGCAAGCATGTGTTGCTCTACTGGTTTTTTTTTTTTTTTTGGTTTTTTTTCTGGTCGTATGCTGGACAGTTACATTTTGTGTACAATTTTGGGAACCAGTTGGCTACGGAGCAGAGTGGCATGGTTTCGATCGATCAACCATCTCCGCTCGCGTGAGAATTTCGCATTGCACTGCAGTGGTCACGTGTTTCATAAGTTGGATACTGCTTCCATTTATTATATAACTAGTCAACCTATGCTGTAATATTTACTACTAAGCTGGTCATTTTCAGATACATTTTAATATGTGCAGTGTGGTTCTCATTTACCTATAGCGGGTATCAATAAAACGGTGGCAAGCAGGTATAGGGAACCATGCAGTAAAACGGTGGCAAACAGTTTTTCGGAATATCTGCAATGCCTACAGCAATTTTGTGGGATGTCTCGGCAGTAAAAACACAAGCCGTCAGATCAGACCACAACACAAAGTGCCTTTCGTTTTTACAGCACTTAAAACAAATATTTTTATTTTTCTAAGAATATCTGCTCCGAAAGCCACTTTTTCTGCTCAGAAACACTCTCTTGGCTGCTCCGATAGCCACATCAGCTGCTCCAAAACACTGTTTTGCCTGCTCCGAAAGCCAAACCTGCTGCTCCAAAACACTGTTGCCTGCTCCGAAAGATGCTCCAAAATGGCTTAGGCCAATCACATCACTTTGATAATCTGTGCCATGCTGGAACCTCATTGTGGCAGTTTCGTAGCCGTGAAATTAACTGCCGAGTGGATGTGCATACTGCAGCACACAGGTTTTGGATTGGATTGTGGTGTCCATTTCCTTTTTTTTTTTTTTGGAGTAAAACATTTACCTTAATTTTTGGGGTAAATGGGACCTATTTTCCCATTGAACTTTTCGGAGAATCACTTGGAACTTTTAAATGAGATGATGGTTAGTTCTGGAACTTTGGCATCTGAGTCGCACTGCTAACACCACACTTGGGCGTTAAATCAGCATTTGGCGATCCATATCTTTGCAGTGAAAACTACATTTTTGGGGTGGACACATACCAGAGACTCAAACCGATATATATATTGTTATGGTTACCTTTTCCTGTTGATATAGGTTTTTTTTCGGTTTGTTACGGTTTCGGTTACCGGTTACACACTCCTAATAACCGGTTTATTTCGGTTTCTCAATAAAATCGCATTATTGAAATGCTAGACAGCCTTTTTATAATAAATGGGTTTAAAGTATTCCCAGATACTCAACAGCGGGATGTTCACAATAACAAGAACGCAAAAATGTCTTAGTAGTTCTGAATGGTAAAACGTTGCATATGTTTTAGCTCCAACGCTTGTTCACTACATCTATTTCCATTATATACTGGGTGATTCAAGCGGCAGCCAGGCTCTTTAAATTGACCCCAAAATTCGGTTTCTTAACCTATCGCGCTATGATTTGTGCAGCGTTGCCCACAGATGGTGCTTTTTTTTGTAAAATTTGCAAAGAGCAAACTTGTCTGGAAGAAGTAAAGGTTCTTTTTTTACTTTTTCCTCAGGTAAGCTCGCTCTTTGTGAATTTACAAAAAAAAAAATGCACCATCTGTGGGCAACGCTGCACAAAATCGTAGTGCGATAGGTTAAGAAATCGAATTTTGCGGTCGATTTAAAGAGCCTGGCCGCACCTTGAATCACCCGATAGTTTGATACCTGAGCATGCATATGCATATCCCCGCTACTCGGGGATCCCATCACATTCTATATAATAAAAATAAACATCGCTACTTTGTTTTACACAGCGTTCGTAAACAACCCTCAGAAAGTTTCCACTGGGTGCTGGAAGAGCCATTGGCACCACCTTGTCGCTATAGTTTGTTGCAACTTAAGATATGCTGAAGAGGCTTCGCCCACTCTGAAGGAAGGAACAGAGCTATAGCCTTCTTCTGGTAAAATACTGTAAAGTGGAATAAAGCAATAAAATTGGGAGCGGGCCTAGTTGGTGAAAGTCGAACATAACGTAAAAACCATAGCGCAAAACAAGCTAATATGTCATGTGCTGTGTGTTCCTTTCCCTTAGTTTTCGTTGTTCACTGTTACACCTACGTCACGTTTGCTATTTCCAAGCAAAAGCTTGGGGTTATAAAAGCGCACGTTTCTCGCTGTCCAATTCCTTGACGCTAGAAAAATTGTGCCGTTATATAGTATACACAGAAAGAATAAAACACATGAAGGACGAACACAGACGCACACAGTTCTTTCATTCATTCTTTCAGAAAGAACTGTGTGCGTCTGTGTTCGTCCTTCATGTGTTTTATTCTTTCTGTGTATTCTGTAGTTTTCAACGCGCTCTGCTAAGTGTACGTTATATAGTAGCGCCATTTTTCTCCGGGGTTTGAAGGTGGAGCTAATCCTACAGGTATGTTGCAACTAGGGATGTCATGAACGGATTTTTACGTCGAACCTCCAAGGTTCGACGAACCTTCAGTTTAACCAGGTTCTGCAAGGTTCAACTTAGTAGACAGTGTGGCTAGACTTTGATACAAGCGCATGTCTATGTGTGGAGAAAACGTTTTTATGGAATAGGTTGCTTTAATTTGTAAGAAGTTACAGTCAACGGAACTGAATTCTAATAACTGAAAAGTTACTAACATAACTTCAGTGCTGCCTTTACTAGTCAACGTTACTAAAACACTGAAACTTACGCTTGAAACTTGGGCCGCTCGCGTCCACCGATACCGAACTAAATACGATAACAGCGTCGCCCTTTAGCGATGAGTCAAAACATGAAAGTTCATTTACATAGCTACTGCGAAATGGCACTGCGAGATGGTTCCACTGGCCCTTGCGCAACTCGATCTAGCTTTAGAGCATATTCTAGAGTTGTCATTTTGACACCAGGATAGCTAGGTTCGACATTTGAGAAAAGGTGCATGGAAGTGACGTAATGGAAAGGAGGAATGTATCTTAGCAACACTCGCGTCGCGGCTCTGCCCTCTTTGACGCTTCTACGTCATCGTAAACTTGACGCCTGTCGCCCGTTTGAGCGACGTCCGGAGCCAACCCCCGGCAAGCAGAAGGAGCTATGCAGTCCCCGAGGCGTACCTACGCGCGGAATACGGGGTAGGATTTACTACGACGCGGGGAGCAGTTTCTGCGTCTTGTGAAGTGACTGCAACCAATCCTGTGTGTTCCTGGCCGTCGCATCTGTTCTAGTACAGGTAAAAGTATTGAAAAACAATAAAAACCTAATGGACATCGTTAAAACAAACAGCTTTTTTTGTGTCCTTTTGCAA